AACGGAACTTAATTATTATTTTTATTTAAAATTTTAAACCTGATAAATTTACTACTACTTACCAGAACTTCTGCCTAAATATCTGCTCAATATCATCTCTGTGAGATGCAAGATATTTCCCTACAGCAGAAGACGAATGTCTTTTCGTGATCAGTTCTTGTTCACTTTTCTCCACTTCGCTCACTTTAATTAATTTTTCACGAACGCGCCCCACTGTCTATGGCTGAGACGAACTGCAAGGACATAATGATTATGATTGTCCCAGAGAGCGTATGCAGAGCTCATGCAAAAGCGGAAAACTTATTTTAATATATACTAGATCATTTTGAAAATGAACCAACATTAGAATTACTTGCTAAATTTTCCTTCCATTTACTGACATAAAATGTTTTAGCACAACGTATTGATGATTTGAACCCAACAGACTATTACGGTCCTTATACGATGTGACAATTGTATGTGCATGAAATGCCATGTCGATATTAACATCGCACATCGTTCAAGGCTGTTAGGGTGGCACAGTGCTAGTGCTGCAAACTGCCGCTTTGTGTTTGTGCAATTTGCATGTTCATCCTGTGAGTACGTGGCTTTTTGGCGGTCTTTGGTCTCCTTCCACTGTCCAGAAACCTGCAACTTAAATGAATTAAATAGGTCGCATATGTGACCCTGCAATGGTTGGTTGGTTCCTGCCTTGCGTCACATGCAATGTGTATTATATAATATTATAAATGATTACCCAATTAATTGCTCGAATATTGATTTAATCGACAGTGACAACCTAATGTTGTGTTTTAATGCTTTCACGTTTTTTTCACCAGCCTAAAAAGTGCCGTGCTTTGGTGTGCGTGTGTGTGGGGTGGTGGGTGTTGGACGACTCGATAATATCGTCAATCCCAATATTTTAAAACTCAAATATCACATATTTTTTTAGATATTACCCAGCCCAAGCCTGTTCAGCCTTGCCTTGGGACAAATGACCTGTGGAGTATCTTCAAGGCTGGGGAGGAGGGGGGCAGTGAAATTTCACGACCCACATGCTTGCTGAAGGCCAAGAAGGTGGCAATAAAACTCTGCCTCGTTAATTTTCCCCCATAAATTCTATCGAATGTAATTTGAACAGGATTTATAGTATGGAACCGACATATGTCAAGAAGGCACAGGTGTTCTAGTGTCAACTCAGCCCTGGAAATGACCTCAGGATAACAGATTATTAACTAAATCAATCCAGAAGTTCGTTTGCCCAATCGATGCAGGTTTGACCCGAGGTCAAAAAAATGGCGACAGAAATTATTAAAATTTGTTTTATTGAGGGTCTGACACAGATGGGACACTCAGACTATGTGAGGAGCAGACACTGAGACTGTGTGAGGAGCAGACACTGAGAGGCAGTCACAACATGGATGACAGTGATAGCAAGACTAGTTAGAGGATCTGAAGTATTAGTTAATTTTCAGTCCTAGGGGCTGTGGATCCAGTCCAGGGTGAAACTGAACTATCAGCAATCTGATTGCATTTTGTTAGATCTGCTTTTCCTGGTGCTTTAAGGTCAATATATTCCTGTGAGGCTCTTTGTATTTAAGCACAGGCTCTATGTATGTATATGTGTGTGTGTGTGTGTGTGTGTGTGTGTACTGGCACGAGAGCAGGTCGGTACCTGCCAGGTCCCAGAAAGAAAGCCTGAAAAACTTATTTTCAAAACAAACACCTGCATATTAAAAACAAATCACTCACTGGTGCATTTCTACTGTCTGTCATTCCAGATTTTCGTTCCCTTCTTATCTTAAGTAAATAACCATTGGGCACAGGGTTTGGTGCTCAGAAAGCTTTAAATCTGTGTGAACGAACAGGCTAAAGAGGTGAGGGGAGGCAAGGTTTGATGGGGGGGTGGGAACGGAGGCCGGGTTTCGGCGTATCAAACACCCCCACTGGCCGCTGAAGTGGAACATCTGCTCCAGAAGAAGAGCTGAACCGATATCTTGGCAGAGTGCAGTACAGATCTGGGCAAAAGCCAGTCTGTGGGTGAGATTCAGCCCACGGAGCCATTTTTACTAGCCTGCGTGATCTTTAAACAAAATTTTTTTTTTCCACATTAAGTCTAGTATAGTGAACAGATTTTTGCCCACAAGCTTCTTTGAATTAATAATAAATAAGCAGCAAAATTTATCAAAACTATTACTGTAGTTTTCATGAGACATGAAAATAATCCAAAGTGAATAAAAAATATTCGCCAAAAAAATATGACGCTCTGTGAAGCTGAGATTTGCCCTCGACAGAAAATAACTGCACAGGCCTGATATAAAATCTAATGTTTTATTTTCATGAGGATTCAGAGATCAATGATAACACAATCGTCTTTCGTTCCAAGTCAAAAAATTGGAGGAAAAACACTTCACAGAAACAGATGGTTTAATAACTTTTAAATGGTTCTGTTGATTCCTGTTCTTCCCAGAACAAAAACCCTTCATGGATAAATAAAATAAAAAAAAACCTTGCACGTACATGTGACACATTTAATTCCCTTCATCCAAAAACGTTGCTTGCCGGTCACAGAAATATTCCAACCAGGATTTCTAACAAGCACAAGCAAAAATCCAGCCTAGTTTTTATATAGCTACCCCCCCCCCCACCCCGAGTCCAGTACGGGGCAAAGCCACCCCCATATGTTCTATAAGTTTGGCTTTTTGAGCTCCCATGTTCCACAGGCCTGCCTGGAATGACAGCTGGGGGGGGTCAGTTCTATCCCATCTCCTGCTCCAGTCCCACCTGTCGAGCAGGCAGTCCACCTGTGACCCAAAACGGAATTGCTATTAGCTGGCCGGACAAAAAAAAAGTGCTTTTTGTAATATTGCTTATCCAGCTTGAAGCATCAGTGACCATCTGTCATTTAATAGGGAGACGTCCCTCCCCCGTCACCTGTCCATTGGGCGGCGGCATCCAGTGGGCGGCAGTGAGGATGACCGGACACAAGGACAGAGAGAGACCTCTTCATCTGTCCTGGGGCATTGGAAGCCTGGCCAAGAGGTGGAGCCACACAGGTTACCACAGGAAGTCCTGGTCGACAGGAAGTCCTGGTCCATGATTAGTACATTACCTCAAATCTGAAACATCCACTGTGTAAAACCACTTTGGATAAATGTATCCTTTAAATTCTGACTGCCAGAAGATGCACCTCAAAAGCTGAACATTTAGGCCCTAAAAACGAAGCGTCCTTCACTTGTACCATTTTTCAAGCAGGCTTCACCTTGATTTATCAGCAAGACTCCCAGCTCCACCCACACCTGTTCCTGTGTCCGGTTTCAATCCCTGGCTGCATTTATGAATATTCATCAGGAGTCTGTCCTTTAATGCGTGACTGGCAGCAAAAATGATCCTTCTGTATCACTAGGGAGGAGCATTTCCTCTGACTGGGGTCATAAATATTGTTTACATTGATGAAGAGCCTCATTTCAGGACCACCCACTGACACTATTAGACACTGTTTTGCCGCTAAATGCGCGTGGAAGGAGGTGCTCCAAACAAAGGAGGGAGAAAAGGAGGTCACTGGTTTTTTGGTCCAGTGAGCAGAAGGCAGCTGGGTTAGTGACTGTGTGACACACTGCTTCATGTGGGTCACCAGTGCTGGGTGGATCAGCAGAAAACTGACTGCCGGCATGAGTGGGTAGAAGCGGAGCTCCCGTTTCAGATCAGTTCACACGAATGCTCTGCATTTACACTACTACTGTCAAGCCCTCTCTACTCCTATTCTAATTTCTATAGCGCTTCACCTGAACCCGAGAACAAAATACTAAAAACTACTGGCCACACCCAAATTTCCAAGGCTTTTAATCTCAAATTTCCTTGAGGATAGAGAGAAAAATGGGCCGAGAAAATTGGTCCCCTAGCAGCTAAGCAGGATGCCCCCTGCTGCCCATTACAGCCAAGTCAAGCTGAAAGGCTGCGCAGCAACTTCCTGTCTAGACAGCCAATGAGAGTTGGACACTTCTAGACAGCCAATGAGAGTTGGACACTTCTAGACAGCCAATGAGAGTTGGACACTCTCAACACAAGCTCTGGGTCTCCAAGAGAGAAAGAAGCTACCTGGTGATTTTTTCTGCCTTTTTTCAAGCCTCTCCCGTGTTTTTCAAGTCTCTCCTCCATACCACAAGCTATGCGATGATCTTCTGAGGGATGTCCACAGAGACCTTCAGAAAGATGGCATCGTCTCGAATGTAATTCCTCTTCCGGATCTCCTCGTGGGAAATAAACTTGGGGTAACCGAAGCCGAGGGCGCTCTCGTCCGTCGGGTCACATGTGGGCCTCCCGGCTCGCGGCCGCTGGAAGTTCTTCCACGAGGGGTCGGGGTTGAAGGTCTCGATGATATGCTGGGGCTTGGAGAAGGAAGGGTCGCTCTGGTCCAACAGGGAGAAGGTGACCCGTCCCGGGAACGGCCACTCCAGCAGGTTGTCGTACTCGCCGGGGAGGACGCGGATGTACAGAGAGAGGAATGAGCCCTCGCCGCTACCGTTGCCATCCAGAAAGGCGGAGGCCTGCAGCCGGTAACCATAGCGATGGCTGCAGAACGTCGGGCTCAAGCACTCGGAGTTGCTGTGCCTCCGCGCCTCCTGGAACTGCCGAGTGTAGTCGGCCACCTTCCACAGGAAGGCTCCGCAGCGGCCGGCAGACATCTCCTCCACCTCCCTCCGTAGCTCCAGGATCTCTTGCCGCTGGCGGTTCACCATCCCGCACATCAGGTTCAGGTGGGCCTTGGCCATATCCTCCAGGTGGCGACTCATGGCCACTTTCGGGCCCTGCCACAAGGGGGCGACAGGGAGCAGGAGATTAAATGCAAACCGACGCCACTTAATAATGTATAATTTTCAACACCCGAGTAGCCCGAGGGTACAGGTACATTTTGTCTCCCCCGATTCTTTAAAATTTAGACACACCCTGTGTTTGCAGCCGGCTTCCCTGAAGGGGCAGATCACCTGGGAGGTGTTGCAACCATCCCGTACGTGGGCTGTCAGCTCCTCTCGAGTCAGGCTAACCGCCCCACACTGGTGCGGGCACGACACCAGGAACTGCGGGCATTGGTACTGGTGGTTCTGTTGCATCAGGATGCATCGTGGGTCAGAAAAACAGCAGAAAATAATACGGATAATATCGATGTAGAATAAGAGCCGGTGCGGACCTGCAGAGTGTCCCACACGAAGCCCTTCCCACAGTGCCTGCAAGGCAGCGTCCGTTTGGGACATTCTGTCGCGCCGTGTCGCCCCAGCAACCGCCTGGCCAGACGCGCCCCGCACTTGTTCTCACAGTACACGCTCTCCTGGGGGCAGACTCCCTGGTGCTCCTGTGTGGGGGGCGGGGGTCCAATCACACAATGTGAAAACGAGTCAATGCTGCATTCTTAATCATCATGGGGACCCCTCCCAAATCCAGCCCATAGCCCAAAGACCTGATTAGTGGAAGCAGACATACTCCCCCCCCGGGTGTTAACCCTACCCCTCACCTCGTAGGCGGCCCCGGTGAAGTCATCGCCGCAGTGCTCGCAGCGAACCTGCCGCTTGGTGCAGTCGTGCTGCAGGTGTGCCGGAAGCTCTCGGCGCGTCAGCTTGGTGGCACAGCGGTTGGGGCAGGGAATCACGTTGTAGGAGCAGGTGGAGAAATGGCCCTGGGGGACCGAGGAGGAGGAGGAGGAGGAGGCGATAGGGATACAGAGCGCCGGTGAGCACGACACAAGGCGGTGCAGTTTATATCCCAGTGACAGCTCACTGCACACATGCAAAGCAGTGACTGAGTCCGCCCTGAGTGGCCTGCCTTTGAGTAATAACCCCTCCCCCCCAAGCCCTGAAATACCTGCAGCTGCTTCACCTGCCCTGTCCAGCGACAGCCCTCCTCGCTGTGGATGCAGCGGATGTTCAATGCGAGGATCTGCTGCTCCAGTTCTGGGTCGGGGTATATCTGAAGGCCACAGGGGTCGGGGGTAGGGGTCACACGTATGTGTATGTGTATAACTCGCACGTTGGAACATTGTGTCAAGTACGGGTGACGCAGTTCACTGGCACGGTCTGTACCCATAACGAGTGAGTCAGGGGTGTTAGACACACCGGCTGGGCAGAGGGAGTCACGCTTCACTTGACTGTAGGTGATCAGACACCAGCTCCAATATGGACAACAAGGGGGTAGCGCTAGCAGACGTTACCTTGGCGTAATCCAGGGGCAGCTGGTCCTCGGGGCACTTAAACACTCCCTCGCTGCGAAAACACAGACAGATCGTGGTGAATGAGAATCATCACGTCGGCCGTTAGCCTTGCCGCACTGGCCTTGCCGGCCACACCCGCTGTTCTCACTTTCTCTCGGGTACCATCAGCAACGTTAGCGTGTTAGCATCTGGGGAGGACACAGGATACAGGATCTTATCGGGCCTGAAGCAGGGGTACCGGTATCAGGGAAAGGAAAGGCCATGCTTGCTCCCCTAGGGGGTGCTACGCAGGCGAGTAGGGAAGTGTACACCACAACAGAGATATGGAGATATTTTTCAATTTTTTTTGCCTCTAGAAAAATGGCTGTAACTCATAGAAACTGGATGAGAGGCTTTGGACTGTGGGTCCATGTTATCAATGTGGCCAATCTCAAATGGGGATGGCAAGCAGAACCCAGGACGCTGAACATCACCGAAACCGCAACCAAAACTGCTCCCCAGCCCTGCAGCCTCTCCCGCCACGCAGAACCCACATGAAATGCCATGTCACATTTTTCACCTTGCAGTTCGGCCTTAGAACAAGAGGAACCGGTCATTCTGGTTACAGAATGACATGGGGGGTGGGGGGGGCATTTACTGGCCCGTGGAGAAGACCAAACACAGGACAACCAAAAACCAGCCAATGGGGAAGAGGCGCTATACAGAAAGCCACAGTGAAGATCCTCGGGGATACCAAGGTTGGGGAATCAACTCAAAGAGGTGCAACAGAACACCGCTGTGCTAAATCTGTCCTGTTAAAGTCTAAAGAGGACAGGAGCTTGCTGACCAGCTGGGGAATAGTGGAAAAACACCAGACTGTCAGCCAGATAGGGGACACTAGAGAGAACACTGTCTCTGGGTAGATAGTCTGGTCATTGTATCAATGAACACGGCTCGCAAAGGGCACCCAACTCCTATAGAAAAGACCCCCCTCCCCAACACAGCAGCTGAGCCCAATCAGGAAAAAAGCCTAACTTAAGGTTTTAGGAGGCTAAGGAACTGGAACTTAAATATTACATTCACATTTGAAATATTTTGCAGACACTTTTGTCCAAAGCGATGTACAGAGGAGACAAATTACAGACATACGATGTCAAGGTGTCGACTAGCCTCTGCACTTTGAATCCTGGGTCCAAGTCTGAGTTGCTTTAGCTGACAATCAAGACAACAATTGACAACTGCCTGAATATGGCTCTTCGTTAGGGATAAAGTCAGGGGTCAAGGGTCATGTCTTTGAAACATGGCCTGTAGGGATCCTACTGCAGCAAATGTGGATATATTACCCACCATTTGTCACTGGACAAAATTAAAGAAAGGCGTTCTTGATGCTGGCATTTTCATATCTCTTGGACCCCCTGAGAGGTGAAGCACATAGTTTAGCGATTAATTGGACAAAAGACACCCCCTTTCCATAAAAATCCTCTGTTTTCAGTCAATCAGATACAGACTGTAGAGTTCCTTTGTCAGAATACAGAGTCCTTATAAAGCCATGTAATACCACACCGGTAATGAGAAACGGCAAGCATGTGTGCGTGAGTGTCTGGTGTAACACTGACAATCATTGTAACCCCTGACTATCAGTGAAGGAGATGGACATTTAACTAAAGGTTAAAGACTGACAGGGCTGGAATGAAAGTGACACAGTGATATGTGAAAGGGTGTCATTCCAGAATAGTATCAATCAACCACAACTACATGAAGAGGAGTCTGTGAAGTTTGCTCGGAAAGTAACATTAATTCTGCTACAAAGTGTCCCCGAGGACTGTTTCAAGAAGCACTGCATTACGATGAGTTTGTGTTTACCATTTTATGTGGACTTCAGGCACTGTGTGCTGTAAAAACAGACGTTATTGGCGTGTATCCCATCTGATAACACACCCCCAGGAGCAGGTGACGTAGATGGGCATCGAATGCAAAGGTCAGACCATTTTTTGGTATGATGGTCTGAGCAGCTCCAAAAGGCCGCAGAATGACCAGAGCAAGGCTTTCAGAACTTCTGATCCCATATTAACTGGCTTTCCATCCAGGAGGTTTTTTGCCTTTTGTCTCGTGCTTCCTGGGATAGACAGATGGGAGGATCAAATCTTGGAAAAGTATGCTGAAGGTTAATCACTAGACCCAATGTAGAAACTCGTGTTGAGTCCCTGCTGCTTTCGGCATCTCCATCAGCATTACCCTCATCTTCATCACCTGTGCTCTGCTCTCTCACACATCAACCTGATGACCCGGTCATGGGGTGTGAATGAGTGTGCGCCGTCGTGTCTTTGGTCCTCGTGAAACCCAAACCTTTTCAGTATTAGGGTGGATCTTAAAAGCTGTAGAGAAGAGCTGAGTACAGGGGATAAATGGGGAGGGTGGCTTGGAGGCGGGGGGGCTAGCAGTCTTTAGAAAAAGCTGAAGAGCCAGTCCAAGATGCAGTAGAAACCTGACACCTCAGTCCAAAACAATGAAACTGCACACCGAGTAGCAAGCAAATACTGTACACCAGTCATCCAATCAGCCTTCACCCCGCTGCTCAGTAGCCTTTACAATGTATCAATTACAGTCTGTCTCACAAGAGCTATCGTGGAGTCCATGCTAATGACCATTAACACTGGCTAGTTGTCCCCAGCCAGCAGGTGCTGCTGTAGTTTCCAAGCTTACTGCATGTGCCCAGTCTGTTTCCTTGCTGGTCATGTGTCTTTAGAGTTGCCAGTTTTCACGCTAAGTTCCGCGCTTCCTGGTTTGAGCTGTTACTGAGCTGAGGTATGGCATTGTTAAAATACTGCACATCTGATACTGTACAGAGTTCGAGGTAAGCATGCGGAAATCCTGCTGAAGGGGAGGAGACTTGGAACAGTCCCCCCCCCCCCCCCCCCATATCAATCTTTCACTGGATTTTTGGTCAACCCAAAATGCAACCATATATATCACAACCATAAGGTGATAAAATGTCATGGCATGTTGTAAGTTTATGGCATACTGCAAATTTAACAGGAACAGCGAGTATTGCTATGAAGTGTATTTGTTTTGCTTATTAGGGAATGGTGCTTGTTTTTTTAACATTCCATAGTCACCGCACCATATCCACATGTCATATAAATCAACACGACAATCAAGAATTCATTCAGCCTAGAATGACAGAAAGTCATTCTACAGCTGGAAGTTTCAAAGTTCCTAATCCTTATGGACCCAAATAATACAGCATCATTTTATAGCTTTTTTCAAACACCCAAACAGACAAAAACTGAAAGTTACACAAGTGAAAAGCAAATTGCACGAGGCTTCCTTTCGAGAAAATTTCTGTGGGCTTTAGTGAGTTTTGGAAATTTAATAAACAATCAAACACACACACAAAAAAAAGGACTGAGTGTGTTTCGGAAATTTGCTTTTCAATTCCCCAAACCAACACAGCCAGAATGTTATGAATGTGTGTTCTGTTTCAACACAACAGTATCACAGTAAAGGAGTTGTGTTTTCAATATGTACAAGACCTTTTTCCATAAAGTGATTTGTGTACAGTAAACTGTAATATTCTATTTATAGTAATAGGCCTGCTTTAGAAAATTACTTTTCCAGAGACTTTTTGACCTGCAGTCAATGAAGACTGACTTTATCTATTTATCTGAATTCATGTATCCTGATGAGCAGAGTTTAACCTCACAAAGAGAAAGGACCCAGGGATGGATCATTACAGGCCACAGTGCCATTCATTTCCATTGTGCTCTTTCTACATTTAGTTTGCATACACATTTTTTATTGTATCCCATCTGATTGTTGTTTCCAATTCATCAACATCTTTGCTGAGGCCTTGGAATTCTCAATTGGTTGGACTTGCATTAAGTACAGAAGTAGTGTCCATGTACTTGTTAATTTGTAGTACAATACAGTGTTTCCCCTAAGTTTACAGCTTTGGGGTGCAGGTATTGTCACTGTAGCGTATCTTTCTGGGCTTTAAAACAAACACAGATATTTTTGTCTGCTTTTCAGGTGGTTGACGCGACATACTTTCCGAAGCGCGCCCTCTGTCCGCTGGTGGGAGTGTGCTCACCTGTGTGTGTACAGAATAACTGTCTTTCCAAAATGCCTTGGACTAATTAAACTGCTTAATTTCTCATGTACAATTGAAGTTCATCACTAATGCTCTCTTTTCTAACCTTTGCTAACTGTGACCTTACATCTGCTGAGTCGACACTCCTAGACCACGTATATCATCCACTCTTCCCACCAGCACTAGACTCACACTATACATGTGCTTGCAGACACAAACCCTGCTCCACATGGAATGCTGTCACAACACAGTTCAGTCTATAATTCAGCAGACTAGCCATCAGCTCTTCACATCAGTTCTGCAGCATCACAACACTCACGACCAGATTCAAGAACATATTCATATTAACAACCACTTTACCTGTGACAGTCAAACAATCAATCCATGGCCCATGCATTTCTACACTGTTACTACACTTTGTCAATCTCTTCATCAGCATGCAGTATTGTCTAGTTTTTGAACTTCTTCAGACTATTTGTGCCTTGTGTTGTTTCACACTGTCTGTGTTGTCTTATACTGTCTGCATTGTTTAGAACTTTGGTATCCTAGTGGTTGAACGAGGAAGCATTCCAATGCACCTGTTGCACATGACTGATAAAGATCTTGAAACATTGAAATCTTTAAGTACATCTTAGTCATTCGTTTCCCCAATTCCAGGTCCGGTGTCACCCTCTCACAGCACCTACCCTAGAAACCACTCTGAAGGAGACTGGCTGAAGCCGTGAATTCTTTGCAGAGCACAGCAGTGAGTCATCAGCACTGACACTTTACTCCAGACAGGCTGCAGACAAAACACTCACAAAAGGAGATTTCAAAATATTGCCCCTTTTTTTCTGGCTTATTAGTCAATTTTAGTATCTGCACACCCAAAGCTTGACATATGATCTAAAGTGCCATTAGTATCTACAGTTTGGTTGTCTGTTCTCTAATTTGCAACTGGCTCCAATTTAGTTTGTTTTCAGTGCGGTTTTATTAGCTTTTATTTTTAAGATATATTCCTATTTTAACTTTTAGTAATTTTATTTCTAGGGATAGACTGAAAGTTGAAAAGCTGTTTTATGTCTGATCTTCAGAGGATTCTAAATGAATACACAGCGCATGTTACGTGCTAATTTCCTCAAAATGGACAAAACATGTGATATACAAATATACAAATCATAGACCTACAAATCATAGATAAATATACAAATCAAGATATACAAATCATTAGTTTAGCTAAATGGTATTTAAAAACGGTAACAAAATATATTTGATGTTTGTTATTTTCTTTGCTAGTTTTGGAAGAAGTTAGTATTTTTCATTTAGATGTTTTTTATTTATTTATTTATTTTTGAATCTTATTTGCTTATACAGACGCTCCTCTACTTACGACTGAGATACATTCCGAAAGGCTGTTCATAACTTGAAATGTTCATAGGTCGTCATTCAACATAATTTTAAGGGTATACGCAAGTACAAAGAACTAGGATGCTGGGAGTACGCACACTACGCTGCTGCGCGGCGGGAGTAGCGGCCAAAAGTGGTACAACCCAGAATTGGTGCTCAGAAAAAGAAAAAAAAAAAAAGATGTTACGGACAGGAAACGGGAGCCCAAGGAAAACAATTTGGAATTGCAGTCCTCTTCGTTCGTATGTCTGAAAGTTCATAAGTAGAGGAGCATCTGTATAATTTTTTCTTATTTTTTTTGTTAACGATAATAACCCTGTAACAATCCCAGGTTGTTAGGACAAGGCTCAATTTACAACCACCATCTGTCAGATTAATACATTTCTTTAACAGGCAGGTAGCTTATTAGCTTTTAAAACAAGAAAGGTATCAATGGGTTTAGGGTATAGGTCTGCAAACCCGACGGGAGTTGAGCTCACTGGCAGATCTAGACTGGCTCAGGCCAGTTTTTATGCATCAATCAGGTTTAGATCAGGCCTGAATTCAACTTTATTTTGCATTTATTATGCCAAGCATGGTAAAAGATGGAAATAAGAAAGAATGGAAGTCACTTCATGCAAGTGTCAGAGTATAACGATATCTATCTAAGGTACGTCGTGGAAATACAGGATAAAATTCTGAAGGTATAGCTTCTGACCATTCTGGAACCAATTCTGATCTGATAACATTAATTGGCTAGTTATCCTTGTGAAATATCGCATTTGTGCATAAGACAGCATGTGTTAGCATGTTTGAGCCAACACAATATCATGTAGTGAAAATGGGTGCTGGGTTTAAGTTGGGCTTGGGTTGAAGAAATCCCATTAATATCCGGGCTCAGGTTGGGTAGGGCCTGAACGCCAGTGGTCCGAACTGGGTTTGGGCTGTGCAGGGATCTGAGAGAGACACTGGACGCATTTTACAAACATACTCTATATTTAATACTGCAACACAACCATCAAGAAATAACATGCAAAGCCTGTGTTTTCACTTTCTAACCACGGCTTCCAGCTACATACAAGTCAGAGGTTGACAGATCAGAAAGGGTGGACACTTTGCAGTCGGGTTTCACCACCCCAAGACCCAAGGGGCGGGAAGCAGAGTATCATGTGTTTCGGACACCTGTCGCGAGAGAGCTTATCTCACAGAGCAGTCATTTAAACTTAGATTTTACACCAGGCAGCTGGTGGGAAGCAGCAGAATTTCCCCACATGAATGATTAGACTGACTTCCATAATAGTGCAATTAATATTCCACAACCCAAACAGAAAATCAGACGAAACTTACTAACAAACTGAAAGTTTTTGTGCTTCCATGTTCTTTTCCATAAAGGCAAATGAAGCTGTTTGCCCTGTTGATACACCCCTGCAATGTCTTTTCTGGAAAGTTAAACATACCCGGAAAAACATGTATAAATACAGAAGAAGCACATGTACACAAGCAAACACACACAATGAGAAACAAAAGGTGGACTTATACATAGGAACTCACATAAACCCAAGGACAAATACACACACCCACAGAAACACACACACACATACACTCACTTACACACACACACACACACACACACACACACGGGTGTAATGAAATCTTTGTGGGGACTCTCCATTCATTTCTAAGTGGAGAACTCTAATCACAATACGACAAAACTTTTGGCATTTTTACTTTTTTCATTGCATTCACAGATCTTTGTGGGGACCACAAAAATGGTCCCCACAATGTCAAAAAAGAAAATAAAAAAATTAAAAAAAAGGTTTTTACTACATTCTGGGGGACATTTGGTCTCCAAAAAGTAATATAGACCTAATCCGCACACACAGAATAACATGCACACAATAAAAACGAAACACACACACACACAAACATGTAGAAATAAAAACATGGACAGAAAATTGCACACATCTAGAACTGAGGGCAGCAGAGGGGTCATGCACCTCCCTCCCCCCCCCCAGTAAACAGATCTTTGTATTTAAAATTAAGCTGTGTCCCCTCCAATATCAATCTCTCTCCTATGCTGTTGTGTGTCTCTGTGGTTGCAGCCCACCACCCTGAGCAGGATGAGGCCAATCAGAAAACTGACCCGTATGTGTCACGCTGACCTTTACACCACTGGTGCTGGAGACCAGAGAATCACAGGCTTCGCTTTGGTGCGAGACGGCCCTCTAGCTGCCCTGCATACTGCCATGTGGCCACAAACTCTCAGAGCTGCAAGGCAGCAGGTCAGGCCGTGGGACAGGGAACAAACAGACAGACAGCACGCACAGTCAGAGGCACCGGCGTTTTGGCCATTTTCAGCACCGGCGTTTGTATCTCTCTTTCAGGTTCGGGGAGTAGGGGTGGTATATGAGTCACTGTGAATATTTGTGTCTGTACCTATAAGTATGTGGGTTCAAATCCCACAACACCCAGAGTAATCATCGCTGGACAAGGCCTCTAACCAGAACTCTTCCGGTGACACTAGTTGATCCTACTCCATACTTTTTCTCACATGTGCAACGCTTTGGACAAAAATGTCTGTTGAGCAATTGCAAATGTGGGGGCACAGCCGTTCTCCCTATTGGGCCACAGCTCTCAGCTAAAGTCCCCCCACCCCCACACCCCCCCCAAAGTACACACCCAGTTCTGCCCCCAGCACCACATAATGATTAACATGTTTCCCAGTCCGATTCCCAGGCTCCTATAACCACCCAGCGCCCGCAGCGCAGCCCCTCACCCGTGCAAACGACAATACCATGAATCCGATTTTGAATGTACACAACCCAAATAAGGAAGTTCCCCTGTGTCATAAAACGTGTAATTGTAATTTCAGCATTCTTACGTGGAAACATGCATAAAAATGGATTTGCATACTCTGTGAAAACTTGACATAAATCGCTCCCGGAAATTACAGATGTAAACGGTTAATTGGCAGACTATACACGACTTTTCAGACAACTTCTCATTCCTAGCTGCAATTCAAATTAAAACTTTCCAAGTTTCCGGTACCGAGAGACATCTACGGACATCAATGGATTTGTAATTTGTTTGTTTCTTTAAAATGTTACTTTAAGATCCGCGATATTTCACTCAGGACTAATCGTTTATAAATTAGTTTATAAGTTATAATCGTTTTAAACAACTAGGTAATAATTGAAATTCAGAAAAAGCAGCAGTAAATCTTAGCAAATGGCTTTGAAAAATTCGTCAACATAAATATACAAATTAATTATTCTGCAATTGAGTACCAAGCACAGCGCTCATGCGCCAGATGAACAAAGGCGTAAAGAAGGAGTAAAAGATGACAGCGTCTAACAGCAAAAAAATGAAATTATTTATAAATATATATTCGAGACGCATTCGTTTGGATATATTGTTATTAAAACTTAATTATTCTAATGAATTTAAAATCTGTGCTTTGACAGCGATGACCTGTTATGTATAACTGAAGTATGCCTACAGGTGCTGCTGACATCGATAGCACACAAAATCTTTCATGAGTTACCACAAAGAACTATTATTTAAATAACAATCAGCTTGTATTGTTAATGTGCTGTTATTGCCAGTAAATTCTGGCGGATTTGTTTAGTCCTCTGATTTGGAAAGATGCAGACCATAGGGGTCACAGATGAACCTGCGACCAGGTGAGCCTGCGCGTCCTGCTCCAGGACATAGACCTTCGACCCGGCATGTTAATTTATTTATCAACGTCTATAAATAAACAGGAAAAACCTTGTTTGTCAAAGTGTCATTGCATCTGAATATTTTAAGATAAACACTTAACGGAAAAAATTAGAATCTCAATTTCTGATTAATCTTTTACGCACTACAATAGTCTAGACCATTGTTTTACATAAGAATAATAATGATTCGGTTTCTTTGACGAGTTATCAGAACAGAAACGAAATTTGAAATGCACTTACCTTAGAAATTCTTGCAGACAAGTATCACAGAACCTGTGTCCGCACGTTGAAACCTGCACAGGCTCCCGCATCGTCTTGATGCATAAAGGACACTGAAATCGTCTTTTCGGCTTTTCCAGAAACTTGTAATCGAAGCCCGGCATTGCGGAATGCGGATTGCACTGCTAATGTTTCCAGTCCGCTAAGTTTACACCGATCCAAAAACGAAAATGCGCTTTTTAAGTTGGATGAATAAGTAGGACTGCCGAACAACCAAGCCAATATCAAGTATAATCAGTATATTTAAACGTATTTTTTCGAAGCCGTCAGGTTCCAAGTGCCACTGCACGAAATGCAGAGAATTAGGTGCCTGTTCACATTACAGCATAATCAGCCAAACAAAATTGAATCACAATGTAATTGCTGAAAGCGGAGTTGTCAACCGACCGACGTAAAATACAGTTTCTGAAGTGTGGGTTAATAGCTGGGCGAAGCCTCCGCCCCCTGGCGCAGCCGTCTAACTAGGAATAAACTTCCATCTGTTAAAGGTGACCAAGTCAAGCCCCACCTCCCTCATTTTAAAGGTGGAGTCTTTGACTATATGCATATGTACTGCTCACATTTGTGCATTTTTAAAGGCCCCGCGTGCACAAAAGTATGCCTTAATTGTCCAACGATTTAACGCTTAAATTTGTTGAATTGGCTGCTTTTCCTTTTGTTTGTTTTTGATCGTTTCACCGAGTATATTAGGCATTTATACAGCAAGTTTGGTTACACAGGAACATGTACATTAATATGTATCTCCACCAAAAAGCATGAATTGGTTATCGGTAACCTAAACAAAATGTTGAAAACATCGCCCCCTAGTGGATCGCAAGCAATGAGTTCAATTTCTTACACCTTCACTTCCAACAGAAAGTTCTTTAAAGCATTAATATGAGGTTTAATTCGATAAAGCGGCATCTGGACGATTACCTTAATTTATGGAAATTGTACCCAGCTTCAGTCTTCCACAGAGAGCCACCACATCCTCCAGTCCATGCTCTCTCAACTGGACATCAATACGACAGCTACATCCATCAGAGTTCAGGTGCTGAGGTGTCTGAAGTAACATGTAACCACCAGTGTACTCGATGGTTCAGTCGACCCCGTAAATTATCCAGTGACAGTGACTAGTCAATGTCAACTAATTACTAATTTATTTCTTACCATTGATGTAACATTTACTGTACAATAAAGCCAGAGAGCACTTTTTTCCAAAGACACTGCTCAAATGTGACTTCTGGCAGCGGTTGTGAAAAGCGCACCACCAATGCAAGTTATTACTGAATGAAATACGATTTAGACCCCAGTAAACATAAAAGCTCTGCTGTAACCTTCAGGTCAAAATTTCACATACACCTTACAGTAAATATTACAGTAAAAGCAAAGCCTTTAACAGGTGAACTAACACCAAAGATGGATTAAAGATATGACAACCAATCAGAAAACACCACTTACCCACTGACTCTGTGCCAATTCACCATAAGTGGACTGTTTTCTCAGGTAAAGTTCCCCGGAAAATCATACTATAAAAACCAAACTGTCACCAGCTTAACAATCAATCCTTGCAACATCAATGTTTATGAAATTAGCACAATCTGTGACCATTCTTCCCAAACCTGTCAGCAGCATGCAACTACCAATCAACAAACAAGACTGATATCCCAATACTACCAAAAGTTTCAAAAACCAGCAACAGCCTGCAGGTGTGACCTTCACAACATAAGCAGTACTTACATAATGTGTCCAATCCATAAACTGAGCATTTCTTTGTGCCACAAAAACTCTCTATGCCGCCACTTGTGAATGTGACGTAATCTTGAAAGCATATTGTCATTAAGAAACACTGAACACAGCCCCTCTTCATTCTGATATGGCACCTAATCATCACGTTTGACTGTTACCTCTTACAATAATTTATCATGCATCATGAAATACAAAAAATACAAAAACTGAGGAAAGCATCAAAGTAAAAGCAATGAGGACAATAGGGCAGTATTTTAATAAATGTTTATTCTGCTGTACATTCAGCGATGAACAGTTTAGATGATGCCAATCTGAAAAGAAAAGGGAGAAAGGCGAAAGGTTAGCTAATGCTTTCAGGATAGACATTCGGTCAGCATATCCCATCATGCATCAGTGGTTCCTTTGAAAGCATCACAGTGGTTCAGATGCAACAAATTTCCATCATTTGCACAAATACATTGCAGAGACAGATTTAATACAGACATACAAAGCCTTAGAACACAAATGCTGAAGTGGCATTGAACACTGAAGTGCTTCTGGGACCACGGCCAGTCTGTATGTACATGCCACTATTTGTGGAACAAACGCTATGGCTTCCCATTCCATGCCCTCACTCACAGTAGCATTGAAATGAACACATTGACACACAAACACTATAAAGTCAAATAAAAACAAAACATGACTGCTGCATCTTCCTATCTGAAAAGTAAAGGACAAACTTGGTGTGGCCAAGCCTTTCTACAAAATACACACTAAGCATAGTCACCATAAAAAGCACCCATGGGGTTCACTGCGTGACCAAATGGGAGGACCCACCTTGTTAGCAACATCCAGTGCATCGTAATCTGGGGCAAGACGGACATATGCCTTCTTCTCGCCATCGGGCCTGTAGACGGTGAAAGCAAAGGTCACTGTCATAAACCTACCCAGCGTTCCATAAACTACATCTGAATCCGCAGCATTACATCTGCAATAACATTCCTCTGCATCAGTGGTTCCTTTGAAAGCATCACGTTTCAGACACTTAAAGTGTACATCATTCACAGGGGCAGCCAGGTAGTTTTGTGGCTTTTTCCATTTCAAACATTTTCTTGTTAAAAACCGATGGCTAATCAGAAGCTCACCTGATCAGCGTGTTAACTTTGGCCACGTCGATGTCGTACAGTTTCTTCACCGCATTCTTGATCTGATGCTTGTTGGCCTTGACGTCCACAATGAACACCAGGGTGTTGTTGTCCTCGATCTTCTTCATGGCTGACTCAGTGGTCAGGGGGAATTTGATGATGGCATAATGGTCCAACCTACAGAGGGTGGCAGAGACAAATATGCTTTGCTGGGGGAGTTACAGGTCCAGATGCAGGCGGCCATCCACCTAGGAAATCAACACCACCAGGTGGGAATATCCTCAGATATATATAACAGAGATAAGGTCACCCCAGTAAGTGATTAAGTCTAAACAAAGAGCTCAAGATGCATCAGTTTCAAAAAAGCTTTAATCACAGCAAGTCATGCTTTGATCGCTAGTGACCATCACTTGCACCTGAGCAGATAACCCCAAGGAGATGCAACTGTAACCCGACCAGAACCCACAGGTGGAACCTCTATCTCCACCTCTACTTGATGATCCAAAACGACAAACAGTACATACTTGTTCCTATGAGGAGCGCTCTTCCTGGGATATTTAGGCTGCCGCCTCAGACGCTGGGTCTTTGGTCGTCGGAAAGTGGGAGAAGTGCGGATCTTCTTCCTCCGGTGGCTGTGGACACCCTTCAGCACTGCCTTCTTGGCCTTCAGGGCCTTGGACTTGGCCTCTGTCTTGGCCGGTACAACTGCAGGTCGTGATAACAGGGGACAAACAGCAGCGTGAGGCTACTACCAACAACCCAGCGCTCAGAGCAAAAAATGCGAAGAAATTCGAGTTAGCCCCATGAAATAAATACGATACTACAAATTAAATTCAGAGCTGGGACCTTGAAACAGTCTAATGGAACTACTATGACAACTTCAAACAAAAAATTTGAGGCGTTCGACGAATAGATTTATAACACGTGGATCTACGTGGTGCATCAGAAATAAGGTTTAAATCAGTACGTCATGCTTTGTTCATTAAGAACATCTTATGCATTGCCCGCCTCGACCCACGACTGACTTAGAGAAAACACAAGCCAGAACATGACTTTGAAACCAGGAACAGACATTAATATTAAATTAAGCCGCAATCTTATCTACATTCTCAACTGCATGGAGTCCGATAGCCACCTTCATTAAACAATTATGTTCTTTAAAACTGCTTCACAAAAACACGAAAAAATAGGCAGCCTTCATTTCACCGCACCGCGTAATGTTACCAACGCGGTGCCGCCGCGGTCCTTCACGTGGAGCAGAAGGCCACAAACCAGCGATGACAAGTACAGCAACCAGCTAGCAAGCACGATCAAAAACACACCCAAAGTATATCGGCAAGCTAACGGAAAACGTGAAGGACTTTACCAGTACATATTATTAGACCCCTATCTTCTATTTTGCGATAAAGCTCCCAGCAATGTAACGCGGCTAACGTTAGCAACAACGCTAGCCTCACACGGTGCTCAAAATGAACACCTCCACACATTAAAACTTAGACACTGTGGTCAATATTTCTCCATTATAGCAAGGCTATTCATCAAAATATACAGTCAACTTAGTTCAACATAAACTTGGAAGATTTTTATAGCTTTTTTTTCGGACTTAAATGGAGAAGCATTACAAACCCTCCTTCTTCGCCTTCGGGGCCATCTTGGGAAAGAACGAACAAACGGGGTTTCCTTTGGTATATTCACAGGGGTCGAAAAAAGGACGAAGTATCGCGGGATAAAGCCAACCACAGGATTATGGGAGCTGTAGTACGGAACTGGAACACATGTAGTATTCTGCATTTTTCTACATTTCTGCCTGAACGAATTCCGCGAATCGCGTTCTGGAGTGTAGATCATGATATTATCTCAGCAAACCATATTAAACCGACTTTTACAACACGAACTCTTGTTTTAGGATTGTTACAATTCCACAGTGCAACTATTTTATAGAACTGGTGTATGCTTAAAAATACAAGTGTTTAAATAGCATGTAGTCACAGATTTCCACAGAGATAGAATCCGATTCGCACTGTGCCGCCAAATCTTACTAAGTTACTGGCATATCCAAGCATTAGCAGATATCTGTCTTTAGGGGGCGCAATGGCACCTTACATCTTCTGCCGTGCTTCATGATGGGTTTGCTTGCTTTGTCTTCTGTTTAAGGCAGGTTGACTCACTCTTGGGCTTAATTCGAGTCATATGTTCGCGGCAGTGTGTTTTTTGGCAGCGCTGTGTCATGACTTGGGAAAAATAAGATATTCACTTCTGCTGGATCCTCATCAAATTCCGACAAACTTATACTCCGAACAAGTCCACGTATCATTGATTTATGGAATGAGATTTTTTTAACCAAACGGGATAAAATATTTCTCGTTGTCACGTTGTCATGAAATGGGAGGATGTACTGTCTGAGGTATGTAGTCCATGAGATACGGACTTATGTGAAATTCGTAATTGATAACTACTATACCACATGATTATTAAACATATCGCTTTGCAAGATGATGTCACATCACTAACCGTATTTATCTACTTGAGAGTGTCTTCTTATTCGCTTGCATAGCTTTTTCTGTATATTTGATGCATGCATACATATGTTGTCTTGGCTTTTATATTTGTTTTAAAGAAACAGAAGCAAACGCCCAACTTCCTTCACCGACATCAGTTGCTCACGTAATCACACGAATGACCTGTTGGTCATTAATCATCTTTAATTCTCTCGAAATTTGAGACTAGCGAGTCATGTGCTTTAATTACCTCAACAAAACTTTGTAACACTATTAAGAAATGAATTCCATATAATTTCCTAAACGCACATATATATACGCATACATATCATGTAAAGCATATGTGGTTATACATAGAAACATTCAATAAATAGAATTTCACGAAGTAAGCATTTGACGGTGAATTCAGAATGAAAAATCTACTTTTGGCATTTAGATGTTTTTGTTGTTGTTTTTTTACTTCTCGGTATCTATATTAAGCAGGTTAAGGAACTGTGCCTTTCCGTAACATTGTGTGTTGGAAACTTAGGGGGCACGCAGAGTAATCATATTACAACTGGGCCCTTGAGCAAGGCCCTTAACCGCTTCAGGATTGTTGGATACTATCTGACCCTTCACTGTAATCTTAGAACCTACACCTGTAACCTACATTCATACATGTGTGTCTGTGTTGCTCATGCACAGCAAGATGGGGAATATGAAAATCAAAGAATTCATATGTACTTGTACTCGTACTTGTACAAATGGCAAATATTCATTCATTTAATATACAGTGTACACAGATTGTTAGGTGGTTTGATAAACCTGAACACACACGTATGATTTGTTTTGAGGGTTGAGCCAACATTAAAAAAAAATTTGCTAGATCCACTTTGGCAGGTCAAGTAAAAGGGAATCAATTAATCACCAATAACCATATTTGTTTTTCAAGTAAAGCAACTATGATTGCACTCCTACTAGGTGGGTCTTGGCACACGAAAGAAGAAGCACATGACAATTACTAAATGCCATTTAGTAGCTGCTTTCTTCTCTGATTAGCAGCAATATCACTGAGTTGGTATATTGAACAACAATGGCAGTAGTGTAGTTGTGATGGGTAGGTAACATGTGACCAACGGCTGAGAGCTCAAAATGGCTCTGGATTATTTACAGGACTAAACTGCAGCTCTGTGAAAGTGTCTCTATGAAGAGTCCTCAGTGCTGAACTTTCGGAAGGTGACACGTGACCATCTCATAGTGACATGTGATATACTTATGTGTCTTGAAATGTTAGACTTTATATGGAAGGATATTTTCCTCAATCTGCTTTTTTTTCCTGGATATCACACATGCAACCATCTAGTTCATGGGAGTTTTACTTACCCAGAAATGTTCTGAGGGAAGAAAGAAAAATGATTGGTTCAGAGAGATAACTAATCAAATTGTAGAGGAGGAGACGGGACTAAGACATCAGATTGGTTGGTCCTGCCTCCCCTAGTTGCTTGGACCCACCTCCTCTACAATCTGATTAGTTATCTCTCTGAACCAATCATTTTTCTTTCTTCCCTCAGAACATTTTTGTGTAAGTAGATCATCATTTACAAGATTAATGTCAGAGGGTGTAGAAAGGGCTGTCCAGGTAAAACTGAGTGTTTTTTCTTTCACAGATAAGACTCCAGTCGAGAACGCTTCCTGACCCAGCAAGCTGAATCTGTATCGCCAGCCTGAGGCATACCCACCATGAACACACTACCTCCTATCCGAAAAGATCGTATCATCACCCAGCTCCCTCCGGTAACCCGTTAAAAGTTTATCATTCTATAATGATATTTGACATGGATTTTCATTTTGTTTGAAGAATCTGAAACAATATGAAAAGAATATCTGATTTCTCATGCCATCATACCATCCAGACATTATACCAAGGTATAATCACAGTATGCCGGCATTATTTTCAAAAACACAGCTATTTTGGTATTTTGAAATTGTTGTGACGGGGGGGGGGGTACCCCACAATACTAATTGCCTAGCAACAAGTTGGCAAGATCCCAAAGTATCACGGCACAGCCAAAATACCACGGTATACTATATTACCATAATACCCCCCCAAGAATATGTCAGAATGATTCCAGAGGCCCTAAGTGATGGGGGCCCTGATAAATTTGGAACGTAATTATGGTTGGGGGCCCAAAATCTCTAACAGCACCCCTCGTCTCAGATGTGACCTTTTCCCCCCATTCTGCTGTGATTACCCTTCCACCCCGACCTACAGATTCCTCTGATCCCTGGTTTTGTGATTTCACTCCTGTATTCTACACTGATTAAACTGAATAGCATCTTCACTAAGGCTCCCCCCCCACCTTTGATCCATAATGTATTAGGAGTAGAGAGACTTGGGGCCAGAGTTCAGTCACCAACTTGTCGCTTTGCCCCCCAGTGTTTCACAAAAGAGGCAGCTTTGCACACCAATGACAGCTTTGACGGCAAGGTGACGAGCGCCTGCCATGAGCAGAGGCTGACCGGGGCAGGGTGAGCTCTCGTGCCCTCTCGTGCCCTTCCTGGGCAGCAGGGTGCTTTGGTAACCCTCCTGCCATGTCTGTGACCCTGCCCTGCAGGTTTACCATCTCCAAGGTCATCGTGGTGGGTGATGTGGCTGTGGGAAAGACCTGCCTCATTAGCAGGTGAGCAAAAGGCAATGGCGCGTATGTTTAACTTCTAATGGTAGTGATGAAATGGAAAAGGGGGGGAAAATATGAGGTAACTAAGGCTCAAGCCAGATAAATGAGGAGAGAAAAACAGCCAAAACAGACTCAGTGAGTGAAGAAAACTTAAATTAACCTGATCTCTGGCTATATCGATGGCTTCTCTGTAGCATGTCACATTAGCGCCATGCTACTGTTGAGGATTAGCTTACGGTGATTGTCTCACTTCCTGATAATTGTTTCGGAAATGCCTCTAACATGGTGCTTAAGGAAGTAGACCTATAACAAAATGCTTTCATTTTCAGAATGTGGGACATTTCAGGTGATCCAAACTCCCACTTGTATAAATGGGTAAATCTGTAAGCAGTGCTCATGTTGATCTTCTGCACTGATGAATCTTTAGGGTAACCAGATAATCCATGTCAGGGAGGACACTTTGGCTACGTTGACACTGCAGGACAAATGCGGCCCAAGTCCGATTTTTTGCTCATATGAGACTCAGATCGCATTTTGTCATGACAATGTGAACAGCATGAATCACACGGAATCCAATTTTTTCAATTCCGATTTGGGCAACTTCAGTATGTGGTCACAAATCGGATACAGGTCTGATTTTTTTGCAATACAACCTCAATCTGAACAGCGAAATCGGAATTCATACGACTTTTACGTCACTCTCGATCGACATTAGTCACAATTCTGCTCAGGCGGAAGTCACCATATGTCTCTGTCAGAGTGTCAAACATGGAGGAGAGCACAGAAGCTGGCCAGTGGAGGGACAGTGAGGTGCTGGATTTAATAAGTATTTGGGGAGATAAATCTGTTCAGGCAAAACTGGAAGGTTCATATCGTAACCGGGCAGTTTTCGAATCAAGTGACGCCTTTGTTTTTGCGCATGCGCTTCATTGCGTTTTTGTGGTTTTGTGCGCACGTGGACCAGTTCAGTATAGTGAACCGTTCACAATGAAATCTGATATTGCCCACATTAAAAAGAGTAATGTGAACAGGCAAACAAAAAATCCGATCTGAGCAGAAAATCAGAATTGAGCATTAATTCCTGCAGTGTGAACGTACCCTTTGAGCTAGGACAGGATTTGAAAACTACCATTTCAATTAAATGGACCTGGCTTTCACTTGAGCATTAAAATCTTGTAATGTGTTTATTGGTCAGTTTCCTATAATCATGCATGTGTCACTAATGTTAATGTGAAACAGCTAGATGAGTCTTTCAAACCAGTCAAAGTACAAGAAGAACTGAAATATTTATCCAAGCACAGGAGCCTTTCAGTTTTAAAGTAGTTTGTAAAACCTGAAGTAGCTCAAGGTGTCCTCCCCGACATGGGTTATCTGGTCACCCAATGAATCTTTTGAAAGAAACAACAATTTTAAACAGGAAGTATCGCTTGCTGAAAAACTAAAAAATACTAGTGTTCCTCAACCAAGTCCTCGGAGTCTGCCATGCAGTGCACATTTTTGATCCCTCCAAGGTCCTGGTAGGGAGCTGGGAGGGAGCAAAAACATGGACCGACTGTGGCTCCCCAAGGACCGCATTGAGAAACACTGGAATAAAGTATCCTGTACTGTTTTTATCTGGTTGGCATTCGACTGAGCCAACATTGCCATGTCTGAACACACATTGCGGGCTCTCTGTCCTCCCACCAGGTTCTGCAGGGACACCTTTGACAAGGGCTACAAAGCGACCATAGGGGTGGACTTTGGGATGGAAAGGTTTGAAGTGCTGGGCGTTCCCTTCAGCCTGCAGCTGTGAGTCAGTTCACAAACTTCATGCACTGAATAAGCCATTTTCACATGATTGGTGCTGCACAGCAGTTTACCGTAGATATTTTCAGGAGGAATTGCAAACAGGTGGCCAAGGGTACAAGGAAAAATACCAAAATATCCTCTGATCTCATGTAAATACGATCCTGGTCAAGTGCTGGCTGTGAATGTACAGATTCTGGAAACCTCCAAGGAATTTCCCACATGACCACTCTCACCACAGCCTTATTCCCCTTCAGGTGGGACACGGCTGGCCAGGAGAGGTTCAAGTGCATCGCCTCCACTTACTACAGAGGAGCTCAGGGTAGGAGGCTGTCCTTCCCCCTTTCAGGGAGGCCCTCCATCGGCTCTGCCTCTGAGTCACAGCATGCCCATAAATGTATAAATCAGTGAAACCTCAGTGCCGTTTGCCTGCTACTGTAGGGTGTGCAAGATGATCCATAAAACCATTAACATTTTGGTGTCTTAATTTAAAGTTGTTGGATATTTGATAAACTTATATTTAGAGGTAGGCAGAAGTGGAAAGTTCAAGTCCAGAAAGTACAAATACAGATCTAGGTTTTGTTTTAACCAACCAGTTGAGTACTCTGTGACTGTGACTCTTTAGACTCGACCGGTTGGTTGAAACAAAATCTTGGTCTGGATTAGTATTGTCTGGACCTGAAGTTTCCACCTCTGGACAGTTACTTTTTGGGGGGACAAGGGTTTGTTGGAGCTTACGAAGATCATGTCCAGCAGATAAATCTGAAAGTAGCTGTAGACATTTTGTTTCTTGAAGATCCCATTTTGTAGCGCAGCATGGGTTGCTGTTCAAAACCAGAGCCTCTGGGAAAGAGGAACTGGACGTTTCTTGTTTGATTTAGATTCCTAACAATCTCCCCTTTGTTTGCCCAGCCATGATAATTGTGTTTGACGTGAACAACGCAGCTTCTCTGGACCATGCGAGGTAGGAGCAGAGTGACCTTTTTTCCCCATTCTCCTGCATGCTTGGGGGGTGCCAGACGCTTGACCGAGCGCCTTTTCTCCGCGTCCCCCCAGGCAGTGGCTGGAGGAGGCAATGAAGGAGAACGATCCTTCCAGCATGCTTCTCTTCCTGGTGGGCACCAAGAAGGACCTGCGGGTGAGGCCTCTGGAGAAGCCGTCGCCCTGGTCCTGACATGTTTCTCTGCAGATCTGAACGTCTGGGGTTTTATTTCTTGGGTCTTTCGTCCCTGTCCTCCACCCCACCGACACAGCCTCCGGATGAGTTCTCCGAGATTGAACAGGAAGCTATCAAGCTGGCGGAAGAGATTAAAGCAGAATACTGGGCTGTGTCGGCATTGTCAGGTCGGTGGACTCCATTCATTCGTATGCAGGAAATTTATACTTTTATCTGTGTGCTTTGCAGGGCTTTCACCTATGAACACAGGACCTTTTATAAATATATTTCTCCCGGTTTACCCCAGAGATGATTCTTTTTTTTTGCGTACCTCATCTTGCTCTCCATGAGACACAAGCAAACATACAGTTGAGAGCAGATTTGGGGGTCAAAGTGAAAGGCTGATAGCCAGCAAGCAGTGACCCTGAAACAATTGGTGATTAAGGGCCTTGACCTGGATCCCAACACCGGCATCGGTCTGTCGGCCCCAGGATTCTGCGACCTTCTGATGATGGGCACAGAGTCCTAAACAGAGGTGGATAGTTCTGGTTTTGGGAAAGTAAAAATCCAGACCAAGATTTTGTTTCAACCAACCAGCTGAGCACTCTGTGACTGTGACTCTTTATGCTGAACTGGTTGGTTGGAAAAAAATATTGGTCTGGATTTTTACGTTCAGGATCTGAACTGTCCACCCCTGCCCCTACCCACTGAGCCACACGGTGCTTCCCAGGATCGCCTGTTCACACAGTTTACTAACTTAAGTTAGCCTGTAGAGGGCACTTACACTACAGCCAGAAGAGAAGGAAGGGCAGTGGAGTTCTAGGAACATGTGCAAGTCCTACGTGTTCCCTAAGGAGGAGTCTGTTTAAATAGCCAGATAACCATCTCGCTGGTTGAAATTGCAGGGGAGAGTGTGAGGGACTTCTTCTTCCGCGTGGCATCGCTCACCTTTGAAGCCAGCATACTCGCCGAGCTGGAGAAGACGGAGTCCCGGCGCGTTGGCGACATCGTCCGTGAGTGCTGCCATCGCCCGCGCAAAGCCTGGCCGAGTGCATCAGGCTGCCGCACAGTTTAATCGCGGCTTTAATGGTCCGTAAAGAGCGTGAGAGCGCCTTCTTGTTTTGGAATTCTCCCCATCTTTTGACAGGTATAACAAGCAACTCAGACAATGTGGACATCAAGCTGAAGAAGCAGGCCCCCTGCTGTCAGTGATGAGGAGAAGCGGTCAGTCTTCAGTCAGTCACGTTCAAGATGTCTGCCGCCACAAGGCCCTGGCAGTCAGCACTGGAAAATGAACGTGCTACGAAGGGAAGTCAGAGAAGAGGGAATTACTATCAGCATTTCGGCCTTGAACTCCCCCTTCCCCCTCCTCACCACTACAGCTCAACACCCTTGGGAGGTTCTGTGTCTGAGGCATAGAGCCCAGCCTTTGTATGATCAGTGCACAGGGCAGGCATGCATTCATGCTTGTGACAGTGTGTTTTGCACAGATAGGGGAGCATGTGATTTCCTGTAACCCTTTCATGTCAGGGCTGCATTGGCCTGCAGCAGGGGATGCATAATGTGCCCCTTCAAAATACAGGGCTGCCTGTAACCATGACAGCAGTTATTTCACTCCTACACGTTCTGCAACTCCATGCGTGGTTGAGATCATCCACAGGGTGTCTTCGCAAAATTCATCGTACAAACTCCCACTATAAAATAACATCGCAGGACAGAGCTTGTCTGGTTCACCGGGGAATCATACGTTCTTTTCACTTTATTTGCCTGTTGAGCTTAAAATCAAGGTTATTCGAGTTTATGTCCTAAAAAGCCTTCTCAAAATGTTAAATCGTTATCACTGAAAAACAATGGCATATTTGTTTTTGCAGACAACCATGTTACATTGTTTAATAAGAAACAGACTCCCACTAGTTAATGGAATAAACCCAGCAGGACCAAGGTGAGCAGAAATTCACTGCCTCCAAAACAGTCATAGAACAGGACCGCAGGCTGCTTACATAGAGGGTGATGCTGATCAGCAGAGCACCAACAGTGCCCCCTTCCTGTCACTTTGAGGAAGTACAGGTAAAGCATAGAATAGAATCTCAAGGTAAAATCCTAGCAGGAAGCAGGAAGCTGAGCAGATATGGTGAACATTCTAGCTCATAATGTGGAGATCAGGCTCCCGCCCACGGGAGAAGACATGCCCTCTGGCTCATTGGCACTGCCCCTGCTGCCAAAGCTCTGGAAGGAGTCCAGTTGTTGCCTGTCGATCTGGGCCTGCAGCTCATCCGGCACACAGTGTGACGACGTGTAGTTGTCTTTGATCCAACGCCCCCCATTGCTGTTCTCGATGGCGATGGCAGCTACGCCTGGAAGGGGGTCGTACACACACACAAAGGGAGACAGGGATCACAGATGGCGAGGTAGGGGGCAGACAAGGGCTAGTGTGTTCAGTACATCGCCTCAGGAACCTCAGAACCGGTCCAGGATAAACTAAACTTTTAGATACACTGCCATGAAAACCCACCAGCGACGGTGGCTCCCAGCTTCTCCACCAGGGCGATGGCCGCCTTCATGGTGCCTCCGGTCTCGATCCACTGGTCCACGAGCAGCACATTCAGGCCTGGCATGCAAGGGCCGTGTGTGTTATTGCATTGGCGCGTCCTGCCCTGTGTCTGTTGCACACTCCGGGTTTGTGTCTGTACATCTGTAATCTATCCTCTCCACATGCTGCCTGCCCTGACACATGGGTGAATCTCAATACCAAGAACACAAAGACCATACTTGTGGTCTTGGCAAGACCGATCTTGCTAACTTGCCTCCCAAGAACAAACTTGGGGTGCAGTGAATCATGGGATTGGTCTTGTTTGGCGAGGATGCGACTGATGTTTACATTTGGGATGGAGCAAGAACAACATCCGGGGATTTTTACCATCCTCTGCACTTGTGTTCTTAGCACTGGAACTGGTCTTCGGCGATGGAAGATGACGTAAAACGGGTGCATGACAGCATAAGTTAGTCAAGTAGGCATTTTGAGATTCACCCATAATCCTTCCTTTCCCCGACTAATTGCTAATTCATTCCCAGCTGAACATTCTCCACACACATAACTGCATTAAATATTGCCATGCGTTTTGTGATTATACTGCACGACCAAGGCAAAAAATAATTACTACGCTAACACAAACTAAGGAAAAGGGTTGTTTTGCCTTGATTTTAGTGTGCCTTTCGTAGTTACTGTAATGATCACACTCTGTTTTCCTCAACACCAAGCATAGTAAGATGTATAAGATATTTTGTCACAAGATAAAACAGAGCCTAAGAAACCCAGTTTCGGTCAAACTCAATTTTGACTATATGTAGTTACAGTGTTTGGCCTTTGTGGGGCAGTGTACCTTTACTCAATTCTATTAAGCTGGTAAGCAATTCATTATATGGGCTTTGAAAACCATCAATCTGCCAGAGTGGTACTGGCAGTTACACAGTGACAGGTGATGCTGGTGTAGACTTGACTTTTATAAGAGATAACTCTCCCTGCTGGAGAGTGTGTGTTTTAAGATGAAAGGTGTGAGAGTGAAAGGGCGTCACCTGCTCTTAGCACGTCCAGACGCACCTCCATGAGCTTCTGGCAGCTGGAGTAGTCCTTGTAGGCTTGCTCCTTCGTCTGTATGCAGAGGTGACCCGCTTTCCGGATAGCCAGGAAGCCCCTACCCAGGCGGGTGGCTATGGCTGAGCCTGGGGGGGGGGGGGGGGGGGTGCAGGGTAGGTGAGTGACCCTTCAAAACAAATCAATGGGTTCCAAAATATTATTGGTGAAGAAATCCATTATTAGAAAACTCCATAGTTCTAAGGCTTTTGCTGGAAGTTGTGTGAAGACAAGGTTGTTATGGCAAGCTTTAATTACTTTCTAGAGGATGTCACGAATTTAGTTCTAACTAGATAAAATGTGTATTATTGATATCAGAAATTCAGTTTTAACTAGCTAAAATGCCAATTCTTGATATCAGACATTCTGTTTTAGCTAGTGAGATTCATTTTAATGGTAGCTGGAAATCAAACAAGTTCAAATGCCAGTTTCTAATATCAGGAATTCAATTGTGACTAGTTAAAATACCAGTTTCATATATCAGGAATTCGATTGTAACTAGCTATACTGAAAACTGAATTATAACTAGTTACAACTGAATTACCGATATCAGACATAATATTTTCAACTAATTAACTGACATTCTAACTAGTTCAAAATCCAACTCCCATTGAAATAAATGAGAAAAACGTTTTGAATCTCATCAGACATTGAATTTAATCTAGTATCAAGAAATGACATTTTAACTATTTAAAACTGAATTTCTGATATCAATAATATGCATGTTTTCCAGTTAGTCAAGTTTCTGATATCATGAATTTACACTCTGACTAGTTATACTTGAATTTATGATGTCCTCTAGAAATGAATTAAAGCTAAATCAGCATTCCATAGATTCTAGAGCTGAATCAATAAGTACAATGAAAACCAACTTTTCCTAAAGTTTGTTTTATAACAAGCCCCTGGTTCCAGCAGTGCCGAGCCAGACCTGCTGAATCCAGGTGTGTTGATCTTAAGCCAGGTTCAGACTCTGATGATTAAATCTGTCCTGTGACTGTAACACTTTCTAAAATTGGCTCAGAGGTAGTTGTATGTCCTGCCCTGTCAGCTGATCTGTGGTAAAAATAGCCATGGGACCTTCCCTTCGTGGCTGCTGAAAGCCCCTCTGCACACTGGCGTGCTTGAGCCCGCAGACCTGGCTGGGAGTGAAGGTCCACTGCACTTAGTTGTGTTTTAAGGCATGCAGTGTTATAGGATAAGCTATACAAGTTACTGTAGGTCAAAGGCCTTACAAGCAAATGGTGATCAGGGCCCGTCTCACCTAGAATAAACCCCATGGCATCGATCCCGGCGACCAGATCGATGGACGTGTTTTGGAAAGGCTGAAGTAGGTCCGTCACACAGTCAGAGAGAGCCTAGACGGGAATCCAAAGCAGACGGATGTGACTGGAGCCGAGTCTGACCCTGACTCCCATCCTCGAAACCAACCAGCCCAAAAGAGCAGAACATTCCTGAGTTTGTGCAAACTTGGGTCGAACCCGAACTCCCAGAGCCGTTCTATCGCAAACACACGTTGGACAGCTGACCGCTGAACGAGAGGCTTTGTTTCTGGCCTGCAGTCCATGCTACGAATTTGACTTGACCTGGGATTACAGCCAAGCAGATACATAAGGAGCCATTGTACACTAGCAGAGCCAACTCACGAGTGGCATTAGTCGTCACAGCACTGTGGAAGAGTCTGTGTTTGCCCACCTGGTGGTTGCAATAAAGCCGAGATGGGTCCAGCCAGGCGAACCTGGGACCCTTGGTGTTGGGAGCCATGAGCGAAAGATACCAGCCTCTCCGCCGGTCTTCTGGCACGGCCAGCGCGTCCATGGAGAGTCCAAGAGGGTGGCTGAGCTGGATGGAAAGAAGGAATGGACTGAAAGAGGAGGGAAAAGAAAGTTTGTTGCATGGTGGGGGCCAGAGAGAGAGAGAGAGATCCTCGACAGCCAATTACAAACTGGGTAAAGCTGATCAGGTTTCAGTCTGGCTGTGTGGGACACAAGAAAATGAGGTGACATGCTCTGCAAATGGCTGGTCAGCTCCATCATGGCCTCCGGTCTCCACCAATGGCATGAGTGTCTTTCTGTGCTGCCTCACTATAAGCCAATGTTTAGCATTCTGTTCACTGACAGTTCTACTTCCACATGGGTTTGCAGAATGAGTCTGAGAAACACTTGAGTACAAAGACTGTCCAGCCCCTAAACCGCCGCTAGCCTTAAAGGGGCAGTTCACCCCTTTACGTTCACTGCTTTAACAAACACAGAAAAAATGCCATTCAGTCCCATTATCCATTATATTTGAGAGAAGCACAACAATTCTATGGCCGGTATTTCCAAAACTAGCCAGCAGAACGACCGAGATAACACTAAATCAGTGGTCTCAAATTCCAGTCCTGGGGGCCAGAGCCCAGCACATTTTTGTGTTTCCCCTCATGACACACCTGATTCAACTCCTTGTGCTAATTACCACACAGCTCTTGAGCTGAATCACTTGTGATGGAACAGGGAAAGAACTAAGCTACACAGGGCTCTGGCCCCCCGTAACTGCAGTTTGAGACCCCTCCCACTAAACATTGGACGTCGGATAGGCGTGCAGATCATGTCTATATTAGGTCCGTCAGTCCATGACCAATTCTGGACATCTATACAACGTCCAAACTAGGTCCACAATTTGAACGTCCATCCATGACCCAACTTGCACGTCAATATGACATTCAACATTTGAACGTAATTTTTTTTACGTTATTTGGACGACTATGACAGGTGCA